TCTCATGTCGTTTCCGAACGAAAACCCATTTGTATCCAACCGGTCTCACATCTCCAGGTGTGAGTACAATTGGTCCGAATACACTTCGATTATTAAGAGAATCTAGCTCAACTTGTATAGCATCTTTCCATTTCAGCCAGTCTTGCCTCTTTTGACATTCGTATACAGACCTTGGTTCTGGATCTTCATTTTCATCATCTATTTCCTTTGATACGAGGTATGAGAAAACGTCGTCAACATCATCTATTTCATTTCCGTTCCATATCTTTCCATTATGGATGTAGTTTATGGAAATCTCATGATTTTTCTCAGGTTCACGAGGCTCTGGATTATCATTAGTTTCATGATTTGTTTCTTCCAAAATACTTTCGGCTATTTTGGGAGTAGTATGCATTTCAGCCTCCTTTCGTTTTCTAGGATTTTTGTTCTTAGAACCGACAGGTCTACCACGCTTCAAGCATGTTCTAGATTCACGTGTATCATCTGCTTTTCCACGTTCTTGTGGTATATCAATACGAGCAGGAGTATTTGCAGCTGGTATATGTGATTTAGTGACCGTCTTGGTATCTGCAAATGCATCAGGTAGCTGGTTTTGCTATACTCTGCAAATGCATAATTCGTCGAACTTCTAGTTCTGACTGCTTAGTGGGAGGATCAAGGTGTAACAGGGATGGTACACTCCATTTGATATCCTTTCCTACACCCTTATTTTCTCCCCCTAGAACCGCGAATACTTTCTCATCGAAGTGACAGTCGGCAAATCATGCCGTAAAAACATCACCAGTCTGTGGTTCTAGGTATCGTATAATAGATGGAGAATCATATCCAAGATATATATATTCCCAACCGTCTTTGTGGTCCCATCTTTGTATGTTGCGGTGGCGCTATAGGCACGTAAACCGCACAACCAAAGATCCTTAGATGAGAAATATTTGGTTCTCGACCAAATGCTAATTGTAACTGGGAGTACTTATGGTATGCACTTGGTCTTATCCGAATAAGTGCTTCTGCATGCAAAATAGCATATCCCCATATAGATGTTGAGAGTTTTGATTTCATAATCAATGGTCTTGCAATCAATTGCAGACGCTTAATTAATGATTCAGCCAAACCATTTTCTGTATGAACATGAGCCACAGAATGTTCAACTTCAATCCCCATTACCATGCAATAATCTTTGAATGCCTGGGATGTGAATTCACCAGCGTTGTCTAATCTAACTCTCTTAATGGGATAATCAGGAAACTGAGCTCGCAGTTTTATTATCTGAGTTAGAAATCTCGCAAATGCCATATTTCGAGATGATAATAGACAAACATGTGACCATCTGCTCGATGCGTCAATTAATACCATAAAATAGTGGAATGGTCCACATGATGGATGTATTGGTCCACAAGTATCCCCTTGAATTCGTTCAAGGAAATTTGGTGATTTATTATTAATTTTGGTTGGCGATGGCCTTATAATCAATTTACCAAGAGAACATGCAGCACATGTCATTTTATTTCTCAGATGTATCTCCTTGATTTTCATCGAATGACCATGTGAGCTTTCTATAAGTTTTCGCATCATTGATGTTCCTGGGTGACCGAGGCGATCATGCCACAATGTTAAATCTTCTGGATTTCGTTTTGTCACGAGATGCGATTCTATTGCATCTATATAAGTATGATGCAAACCGGAAGGGAGTTTTGGAAACTTTTCCAATATAAGTCTTTTGCCTAACTTATCAGAAGTTACATACATATACTTCTTTCCATTCTCAGTTACAGACTGAGTGTCATATTCTTGACGGTATATGTCTTTGAAACTTAACAAATTTCTTTTTGAATTTGGAGAATACAAGGCATTATTGATGGAAGATTTTGGGGACATTACTGGGGACAGTGTTGTTTAAGTCTGTGGGAGGTAGTTGCTGACATTGTGTTTGTTTTTCTTAAGAGTCAGTCGTGTCAGTTATCCACTCGTATCATAGCTAGAACCGGTCGGTGATCTAAACCCCATAATTTCAGGTACTCCACAAAAGTGTGAGAAATTTTAGATTTCCATTCTTCATTCCCAAGAGCTCTATCTAGACGGCACTTAAATTTACCCGAACGTCTTTTTCCAATCCAAGAGAACAAGTTTCCCTTATACGGGAACTCTAGCATGCCACAGTTCTCCAACATAGTTCGAAAGGGGATAAAGGAGTATTCCGATCATCTTCGCCCTCCTCGTTTTCATGATTTCCCGTAATATCATTGAAATCCCCTATCATAAATCAGGCTTCTTTTCTAGAAAGGCTCATCCGAGTGAGACGCTCCCAGACATGCTCTCGTTTTTTTACAACCGGATCTCCGTAGACAGAAGTCATAAAGATTTTATGTCCGTCTAGAGTAGTTTCTACATCAATCAAATGCTCATCCAAGTAATACATAGAAAACTGTAGGTTCATCCATATAAAAAAGAGTTAAACCACCGCTTCGACCTCTCGGTTCTACGGTACAAACATGGTCATAGCCAAAATACACGTGCATGTCTTGCAGAAAAAGTCAAATGTTCTTAGTTTCTGATAAAAATAAGAAACGAGGTTGAAAACAGTGATGAAGTTCTTCTAGATGTTCTTTTGTCAGGTCGGCTCTCGCTCCCTGACAGTTCCATCCGATAACGTTCATTTCTGATGGTTTGCTGGTTTATAGGCATATTCCAGACCAAAAGATGGTGATGGTAGTTTTGGCCCTTGGGCCTTAAGAGATTTCTCCTCCTTGGGCGTGTTCTTTCTATTCTCATTTGGGCCTGGCCCAGATCCTACTCCTTTGCCTTTCCTTTTGCTTTTGGAGAAACTCAGCTTTTACTAAAACATTGCTTCTTCAACAAAGCTCCATTGGCCACCGGAGGTTTGGGAATTTGCTTCGACCTCATATAAATCAGCATTGGAGATTGTAGATTTGGGAATTTGCTTCGCTTCTTAAACCTTCCAGTTCATCTTCCTCATATAAATCGTCATCATTAAGCCAATCATTTTCTTCTGCTATGGCTTCTATGGTGTTTGTAGTTCCAAATTGCTCAGCATCTTTCTCTGTATCCTCGACAAAGACAGAGTTGGGTTTGGGTTTGATTTTTTCTTGTACAACCAGAAAGGTCTTCGGATTTGGATGTTTTAAGATGCTTAGCACAAGGCAAGAAGGATAGAAACAGTCGGAGTCGCCAAGCTTCCCATATGGGAGATATCTTCAGTCTTGTTTGGTGCAGATCTGGTGTGGCATCTGGTGTTTTTGTTTGACTTTCAATAGTGAATTCTTTGTAACAGGGAGCAGATAATGCATGATTAAAGTTAGACCGTAGTCTTAATGCGTGATTTAAGCTATAATCACTTGGTACACTTGTTGAATCTTCTGCCGATTTGATTCTTCATGACAAGAGCTAAAAGAAAATATGGGCTTAACACACAGCTAGAACAGAGAGAACTCCAAAAAGTATTCTTCATATATCCCAGAAGGGAGAAAATCCTGTAATCTTGGTCGCCATTGTTGAGAAAAACTTTATAGGGTCAAGAAAAAACCACATGAAGACACAGATCCAAGTGAAGGTTCGGCTGAGGTCTTAGTACAGGGCTAGAGTTTTGGTAATTGAAGAGCCAAGAGGAAGCTGAACAGAGTCGGCAGTGCATGCCTTTTTTAGGGGAAGGAGAGATGAGAAAACGGCCCTCCGGCAGAAAACAGAGGCGTTTTCATATGAGAAAGATGTTTAGAGATAAGGTTTACTAATCTGGGTAAAAAAAAATGGTTGGATTTGAAATAAAGTAAATCTCAGACATTTTGGACAATCCTCGAACAAAATGTCTGGAAAAAAAAAAAAACTAGATACACTTTTCTTGTCCTGAATTTGTTTCAAAACAGTGTTTTCATAATAAGACTAAATAAATACTCGCATATATGCGAGTTTATTATTTCACATTTTCTAACCCATAAAGAAAAATAGAAAGAAAAAAATATCACCTGTAAAAATATATAGTACAAAAATTTAAAAATAATAATAATCAACAATCATAAAATATTGACATCCAAAATAATAAGAATACAATAATTCAAGAAATATTATTCTAACATGACTACACTAATATAACAATAACCACCTTATGAATTAACATAATTGCTCTGATCTAGATAAGTACCTATATATATATATATATATATATATGCAGATTTATAATTTAATATTCTTAACCTATGAAAAAAAAACAAATCAAAAATAAATTAAAAAACAAAATCAGATCACAAAAATATGTTATACATAAAGATAAAGTTATCAACAATCATAATATTATTTAAACATAAAATAATGAGATTATAATAATTAAAAAAATATTTTACATAACTATATTAATGTAATAATAACCATTTTATGCATTAACCTAACATGAGTAATATAAAATAAAAAATTTATATGTACCTTATGAACTAAAAAGATTAGCAAAATATTTTGTTGGTTGTAAATTTATAATCTATTGTTTAATTTCTCTTAAAATGAAATAATGTTTTTCTTTTTTTATAAACTGTATTTTTTTATTTTTATTATGTTTTTTTCCTTAATCTACACATAATTTGCATATATATATATATATATGCATTTATCTAGATATAATTAGAAATTCATTAAAAGCATATCAAAATCAGATTAATTTACTTAACACATGTTACCATCAGGTGAGTTAGCAACTTTGAATTATTTTATATAATAAGATATTTATTAAATTTTAATATTTAAAATTATATCTAACTTAATATCCGGTTTTTATTTTTGTTAATGTATAATAACAAATGATTATTGTGATTTTATCTAACTATCTAACTTATATGTAGAGAAATTCAAATAATCAAATTAATATCTGTATTTCGTAGAATTAAATTTAAATGTAAAATAAAATGAATATTTTAGTTTAATATTATACCAAAATGGATTTATATTAAAACAGTTTTCAAATATTTTTTTCTAAAAATAGAAATGTATGGATGCAAATACTAAAAGAAGAGGCTGATTTGAGGTTTTTCTACAACCGTTGCTTTTGCTTCAGGAAATGTTTTGGTTTCCGTAGGTCGAGAATTGTGGTTTCTAATGAGAAGTTCATTATTCTTCTCTGCTAATATGAGTGTTACGATCAATTCAGAGAATCTCGTATACCCACAATTTCTATACATTTCTTGTAGAACACGATGTTCCTTATGAAATGTGAGATACGTCTTTTCGAGCATTTCTGCATCGGTGACGGGTTTACCACAGTATTTCAGTTGTGAGACTATTCTCAGAATAGCGGAATTATATTCCTCAACCTTTTCAAAATCTTGAAACCTCAAGTTTTTCCACTCTTCAAGAGCATGGGAAAGGTTTATTTCCCTCTGGTTGTCAAACCTTTCTTTGAGAGCTTGCCATAGCTCTGCTGGATCTTTTATGTGCGCATAGTCATGCGTCATATTTTCATCTAGATGTTTCCTCAGGAAAATGATTGCCTTTGCCTTATCATGGGCAGACGATTCATTTCCCTCTTTTATGGTGTTGATTAACCTTTCCGACTCTAGATAAAGTTCTACATCGGTGATCCATGCTATGTAGTTTGCTCCAGTTATTTTGAGAGCTGGGAACTTAAGCTTCTCAATGTTTGCCATTTCTAAAACATGGATGCAAAATATTATTAGTAAGATAATAATGTTTTACATTAAAACGAACCGTTTACATGAATAACTAAAGCGATTACAAAAAAGAATATTGCATAAAAAAGTAACATAACAGTTGTGGTATACTCTTCGGGAGTAAATTCTCCAGCGGAGAGAGCATAAATAGAAGCAAAAATTACAATCGCGCTTCAAATCAATAACAAACGAATCATCATTCTTATGCAATGAAAACCGAATATATTTGAGGGAAGATATGATGTTTGAGTGAAATGAATGAATGAAAGATAAATATATTTATAGATTGAAAAACACTGCTCATAGCCGTTTGAAAAAGTGAAAAAATTTGAAAGATTTTCTTTGTGACCGTTGGTGAGAAAATAATTGAAGAAAAGAATTAATCCAAATATTTTAATAAACAATCAGTTAAACCTATTAATTTTTAGACATAAGGTTTATATACAGGTGGCAGAGCCTCCTTATATAACAACCATTATATAAACATATATTTAACAGTAACATTATGGTAACATAGTCATCCACATTTATCTAGTAACTAAATTACGAGGCGACATAGTCGGCCATTGTAATATTAATAAAAATAAATAATTATGGTACATTTAGCAACCATGATATAAATAGTAAAATGATAACAAAGCGAGACAAACTGCCCATTATAATATTAAATAATAATGGTGTGTTAAACATCCACTGAAAATAATAAATAGTTATATAAGCGACATACCGCCTATTATAGTAGTGTATATATATTATGAATATATATTTACCTATAACGTAGAGTTATCGTGCTGCTGATAACGTGTTATAATAATATGTATAATTTATCATATAGATAAATATAAATAAAGACGAAAATTTTATACCTGCAAAAGAACATGATACTCGTAAAAGAGAGAGCGAGAGAGTAAGAGAGAGGAGGATGTTATTGAGAATGAAAATGTTTTGTGTGTTTACAATCGAAAAATTTCCTTAGTATATATAAACATAAAAAGTTTGAATTACTATGCATACATAGGGCTTAATAAACAAGAGGGGGACTTTCTCTCTCTTCTCTCTTTCATATCCTTCAGAGAGAGAAAGCCTCTAACTCTGTAATTATTCTGATTTCCATCAGATTTAATAAGTTTCGGCAAGACCGAAATAGAAATTCCGACTAGATTAATCCTTTTGTTGTATCATATCTCTCTTGTCGGATTTGATGTTTCCGTTTAACGGATTTTGCTTTTCAAATTTTGGATTTCTTTTTGCTATCTAAGATCAATTCTTCATATATTGATGAGAGTAGTTTTCATTAATCCTTAGTGGAGTGAAAAATCTCTGCATATTTGAAGAATTGGTTATATTATGCTCTTAAAAAGATATAGCAAAAAGTTTTCCATGGTCGGTTTTTGTGTCGCTCTTCTACAGATCTGGCTAATCCTCTAATGTGAAGCGGTAAGGCCTAGGTTCGGTGATGGTCGCGAAAGCTTCTGCTCCAACGTTTGGCATCGTCCTCTCCTGGCTGGGAATTGTTTCTCCCTGGATTCCCTATTAAAGAGCCTTTATCAAGGCGGAGGGTGAAGGTCACGAGTATGTGATGATCGGAGGAAAATCCTACGGAAGTGAGAAGATATCCAACCAATCATGAGCTAACTTATATTCACTGTAGAAGAAGTTTATATGATGATACCGGCGGAGACAACAAAGTCGCTAAAGCATCGCAGCGATGAAGAGTTGCCGGCGGTGAAGGTCGGCATGGAACCGATGGTGATAGCTCAATTGGAGGACACATGTTTTATTAGTCATGACGTTAAGAAGTTTACACGTATTCTTATACGTGTTTCATTTGTATTTTGGGTTTATTGGGCTATTTAACCTTGGGTTTGCACCTATGTATCAGTACTCTTTGCCTTTGTGGCTTTAATCTAAATCCAAAGTTGACGTAAATAGTGAAGGCGGCTCCACAAATTTATTCATGTTTTACATCTATGACCACATGTTTGACTTTGTAGATTGCTGCTTTTTCTTACTTTTGTAATAAAAACCATTTTTAAAAGTTTTTTCTTTGGATCAAATATATGGTGGACCAAATATAATAATAATAAAATAAATAAATAAAGAAAAGAATCTCCGCTGCTTCTCGAGTCTTCCATAATACATTCCAATCTAGCTTTGATCGACAAATTGCCAGTCTCTTCTTCATCTAATATAAAATCACATCTTCTCCATTTTCGTTTCGTATCTCTTCACATCTCACCGATTCCGAATTCTCAATCTTCAGGTAATGTTTTCTTCAATTGCTAATTCTTATTTTCTTCTATATTCTTGTCAGAATTTTTAATTTTCGTTATCTCCATAGAGATCTAAATTTGCATGGTCAATTGATTATCTTTTCTTCTTCTTCCTTTGGTGTATTTTTTTCCTTTTGTTATGTTTCCAGGGAACCTCTGTCTGTGTATCAGTTAATCGACCATGGCACATATCCTTTGTGGATCTGTTCATTTAGATTTCATTACATTTTTCTTAGATAGTTTTTAGGGTTTTCCTTTTCGTGATATTTGTTTGGCTTTAATTGAAGCAAACGCGGTAACCAGAGAGAGCGTGATCGGGAAAGAGCACAAGCAAGAGGTAATCATAAACCTAAGCAACCTAAGAACGATGGATTAACCCCTGAACAGCGACGAGAAAGGTAACGCATAAATCTCTAACTTTCTCTTATTGTATCATGGATAAGGTTGTGGAATCAATAACATTATAAACATAAAATCTTGGGTAGACTTAATAAGATCTCTGAAAAAAGTTGTTCATAGAGTTTCTTGTTGATGATGATGATGTAGGTTTCTTTCTCTTTAAAGCATTCGGATTAATTAATTAGATTTTGTATATCCTTGTTCATTTGGATAAACCTTTGGTTGTGGAATTATAGTTTAATAAGCTCAATGATATTAAATCATTGAAAGCTCTGCATAGTTGCTGAGGGTGTTTTTTTGTTGAGACGTAGGTTTAAATCTGTCTATTAGGGCAAGTCTTGGATAAGATGTTAAGCATTAAATCTTTGGTAAACTTAATAAGAGATCTGAGATAAAGCTGTTATTGGTGCTCCTTGTTGATGATGATGTTGTTGGTTTCTTTCTCTCTAAAGCTTTCAGATTAATAGTTGGATTTTGTGTATCTTGGTTCCTTTAGATAAAAGCCTTAGGTTGTGGAATCAGTAAGCATTACAATTTACAAACATAAATTTTTTTGTAGACTCAAAAGTTGTTATAAGTGTTTCTTCTTGATGATAATGGTATAGGTTTCTTTTTCTGTAAAACTTTCAGATTAACTAATTAGACTTTGTTTATCTTGGTCTATTCCGATTAAGCCTAGAAGGAGAATACGATGATTAGGTTGTGAAATCAGTGTGTAATAAGCCATAAAATCCTTAGAAGCTCTGGGAAGTTGTTGAGAGTGTTTTCTGTTGATGCTTATGTTTATGTAAAATATATCTAAAGCTTTTAGATCAAGTTTTTAGATTTTTGTTATGTATTTGTTGATTTGGGATGTTGGATTTGATTTATCACTTTATTGTTAGTGCTATGCTGATAGAGATTAGATGATACTGTATATGTGGTGTAGAGACGCGAGAGCATTGCAAGAGAAAGCAGCCAGAAAGGCAGGACAGTCAATGGGAGGAGGTAATCATGACCATTTCCTAGGCGTTGGAGCTAAAATCAAGAAATAAGACGCGTTACGGTCTATATTCAGTTAGGGGTTTGTGGGACATTTGGGGTATATATTGTTAATTATCATCTTAGTCGATTCTATATCGTGATGGGAGGAAATATTTTGCTACTGTCACTTTGAGAGTTGTGTTAAGTCTTGAAGCATTGAGTCTCGTATGATTCTTATCTTGGCTTATGAAGTTTTTGTTGTACGTTTTGTTTTGAATTGGAATGTGTTCTTCTTTCGTTCTTTTGTTTAGAGTTTCTCGGCCTCGGGTTTTGGATTAGGATTCGCATTCCCTTGTTAGGGATGTGTTGTTGTTCTTGTGTGGTGAGGAATTCCAGTTTTGTTATATAGAATTGACACTAAAAATGTTTCAATGTATCGAATTGCGTACTTTGTCATGGTAAGGTACTCGTGTAAGTGTCATTTCAATAACAAATATCTTGACATCTCATTTTGAAGGTAATAAGAAAAAAAGTTGTGGACCCATATCTTTTACGGTCCCTAATGTGTTTGGTCATTTACACATTTATGAATAAATAAAATGTCATTTGAATTCTTGTACAATTCAAAATTGCATGAAGCTCCTCGGTTTTTTATTTATTGATTGTATTAGGTTAGTACTGGAATCCACTCTTTGTTGCTCTCCAACTCCAACCATGACAATGTAGGTTAGATCACCGACCTAAACACCAGTTTTGTCCTCTTTTTTAAAATGTCTCTATCTATCTAGCTAATTGCTAAGAACAAACATTTATATTCTTAAAGCTTACATAAATATACTCTAAAATAACACAAAAGTAGTTTTTATTTTAAATCTAACGCACCAAACTTTAAATTTCAAAAATAGCACAAATAATATTGTAAAAGTATTGTTTATCCTGAATTATTAAAAAGATATTAAAGCATTATGTTTGGATTTTCAAATATTCAATTAAAGATTTAGTTTTTTCCTCATTAAAATAAATTTTTGAATCATCCTATATATTAAATGAGAATGTAATTTAATGAAAAAATCTGATTTGTTTTAATTTGATTGGTTTAAAATGAGCTCTTTGCTTATATCAATGATGATGTTTATTTCATGTCAAATGTGATATAGCAAGGATGCGCTCTGCGCAATTTCATTGGTTCAGAAATGTTGATGTGTAATTTTTCTGGAAGTTTTCATATTTTAAAATAATTAAAAACTAAAAAATAATAAACGGATAAACACGCGAATTTTTATACCCGATCCGGACTAATTAAGTGTAATTTAAAAACATCCTAAGGCCCAATACTTTATACAAGCCCAAATATCTTTCATTTTTGAAATTATGCTTTTTAAAAAAAATTCACGTAAAAAATATTTTTTTTCTAAAATAAAAGATTACATTAACTATTAGCAAGATTTACCGGAGTTAATGTAACAGAATATACAAAAACGTTAATATTTTAATAAGAATCAATAATTTATCTTCCATTTTAATACCTAGACGTCAATTTTGGCAATTCAATCAATTTGAAAATATTGATTCTCAAATATTTCCGCAACAATACCTATTTCTACGCACATTCTGTATATCCATATTCTTCATTTCATTCTTTTTTTGAAATAATTTCAATCTCGTCTAACAGCAATTTTAAAATTTTGTCATTGACTTCCTCTCCATATATATACCACCATCCTAAACACTAAAAATCAACCATTCTCATTCACCAAATGGCTTTAGTACGCAGATGTACAGCTGCTATACCATTTGCAAAATTAGATCAATCCAGTGAAATTCAAAAAGTTATAGCTAATATATTTTTCCTTTGGAAAGTCTAGAACAGGCAGTCTGGCTTTGTTATAGAAATGGTTATGGTACGAAGAGGTTTGTATGCTCTTATGTATTTTGTTTTTCGTTATTTGATCAATCTATAGATTATAGTAATATTATTTATGTGTGATTTACAGGGCATTAGAATTCACACCACTGTTGATGAAGAATTGATCGCAAAACATAAGGGCATTCTTATAGAAGGGAAATCAATTTCTATTAATTGCTTCATCATTAAAGAATACTATAGTGATTTAGGACTACTCCATTACCATACAAAATTGTTTTGTGCAAAACCACCCGTGCTAAGGAGATTACTGATTTTCCATCAAACTTGCCAGAGAAATATTTGTCTGATTTCAAGTCAATCAAGGAAGACAAGCTAGAAAGAAACGTCCTCATCGGTACGTTATCATCGAGATTTTGATAAATATATTATATTGTACCTATTTATCATTGTATACAAATATTTTGTCTTCAAGATATAATTGGACAAATTTTCATAGTGAGGAGTTTGGAAGTTCTCAAAACTAAAGGCAAAAGTGAGATCAGCGAGAAATTAATGATAACACTCCGGGATACCAAGTAAGTAGTTATGATATCATACCGAAATATAAAGAAAATATTTTAACGCTGGAACGCTAATATGTTTAATGCTGAAGCAATGTCCAACTGAAATGTACACTATGGGGACAATATGCAAAAGCAACTGTTGAGTAGACTGACAAATATATGGCTGCTATTGTTGTTTGTGTAATGCGATTTGTCTGTATAAAAGAGTACAAACACAATATCACCTATTCATATGTACACAGTTGGTTGAGATTGATATTGCATTAGTTTGTTAGTTATTCTTAATTTTTATTTTTGAGTATAGGTGACATATCAATATCAAATGCTTTCAACTCCACCAAAATTTTGTTTGATCCTGACGTCAAGATCGTGAAAAATTTCAGAGAAAAGTATGTTATGTCACAATTTTAATAACATTTTAACATTATTGTATTTATATAATTATTTTGTACGGTTTTGTAGGTTATCAAAAAACAACCAAATGATTGTTTCAACCTCTTAGGGTGGTGCTATTGACTACCATGAATAATTTTTAGGTGTGAAAAATAGGAGGCAGACAATAGCTGGAATTCGTGATACAAAAGTGGTATGAGCTGTATTTTATTCATGGTAAAAATATATTTACATTTCAATATATACATATTAATGGTTTTGTTATACCCCGACAAGATTGTAACCTGCGTAATGGTCAAAGACGTTGACACTTCAAAGCTGTGGTATTATTGGGCATGCAAACCTTGTAATATCAAAGTTTTAGAGCATGGCATTATGTCTGATTATGAAGATTACGATAAGAGGATTCCTCTTTTCAGTTGCAAAAATTTTGGAGATATTTATTCATATGATACCATCGTTGCAAGGTCATACAATGATTCATCCCATAAAGTCAAGAAAATATTAATTATTTCATTTACACTTTCTTTGGTAAGAGATATAACAGATAGCAGAATTATTTCATGTAGACTTTCTCTGATTGACTGACTAAATGTTCGCCTTATTTTATTACGTTGATTCGTCGTATAATACATTTATTCCGACAATACATTACATGTTGATTCAACGTTCAAATAACTGATCACTTTTATGTTTCCTTACAAAACTATGTAGGTACTATATTATATTATTTGTAACTGACGATTCAGACGTCGATGTCCGATTTCTGATGTTTGATGACACTACTCAAAGACTGTTAGGTCATTCAGCTGAGTCTATAATAGAACAAAATGATAAGGTTATTGGTTAAATCCTTATATACATTATTTACATTTACTGAAATTATATTAATCCATTTAATATAATGATGCGCAGGATTTACCAAGAGAGCTCCCTGATGGCTTGACAAAGCTCCTAACTATGAGGATGCTTTTCAAAATAACAATTTTAGAAGAGCATACAAAAGGAAGCCAATCTCCGTATGTAGTTAAGCTATTGTCTCAAGATGTCGACATTGACTGAGTGGGATTCTCGATCAAATCACTACAAGAAAACAATCGTTTTCCAACGGTCCATTACGACGGTTTTCAAATCGTCGCAAAATTACAACGATTTTACGACGATTTTACGTCTAATTTTAAAACCGTCGTAACACCGTCGTGTAAAAAAATCATCGTAAACTCGACGTACAATTTACGACGAATTACGACGATTATACATCGATAACGAGAGATTTTCTAGTAAATGTAAAATCGTCGTAAATTCGATGCAAAATTACGACGAATATACAACGACTGCATTTCGATGTACATATTACGACGATTTTACGTCGAAAAAGAAGTTAGGTGAAAAACATTTAAAACATGTTTACCTAACAATTGTAGATGAAAGATTTTATCGCATAATCGTCGTAAACTCGTCGTAATATTATTGTTGAATGTAAAACCGTCGTAAAAAGTCATCGTAAAAGCGTTGTAAAGCCCGAAATTTTCCTATAAATAGATCTTCATTCCTTCATTCAATCACAACACATCATCATTCAAACATAAGAGCATCTTCATCTTGGAGACCCATTGTAGGTCTCTTAAATTTTAGTATAGTGTTGTAAATCCTTATATATTGGGTTGTCCATTGCTGGAAACCCGAATTAAGAGTTATATTACTTTGAAAAAAAGAAATAATAATATTATAAGGTTAATTTACTCCATTCACGTGGCTAGACGTGACACAAGAGACCACCTCCTTTATTGTCTAATCAATAAAAAGAGATATTATTTTGAGTTTATTTTCAAGATGTCTATATACGAGCTAAGAAGTTTGATGTATATGCGTAAAGATTCAGATGGGGCGTTGACAGAAGAGTTCAAGAACGGATTAGAAATATTTATGTTTCAGGCTACAAATATGGAGAGAACGAAAGATAGTGGGAAGATGTTTTGTCCTTGTTTGAAATGCAAGAATATGAGGTATACACTAACCAAAACCGTGTGGACGCATTTATCAAATAGAGGGTTTATGCCGCAATATTTTGTTTGGTATCTACATGGAGAAGGATATGGCAGTAATACTCATGGGAATGCTGGTAGTAGTAGTAATTATCAAAGTCATGTTGATATTGATGAATCGAATTATGGTCATCAGCCTAATCAGTATCAATATGATCAAAGTGTAGATCATGATAAGATGCACGAAATGGTGACTGATGCATTTCATGAAACGCATACTGGTAATGCTGTTGAGGAACCTAATGTAGATGTCAAACGATTTTATGATTTGTTAGACAATGCTAATCAGCCAATCTACGAAGAATGTAGAGAAGGCTTGTCTAAATTATCGTTGGCAGCTAGGATGATGTCAATTAAAACATATCATAACCTGGCTGAGGTTTGCATGGATGATTGGGCTGATCTTCTGAAGGAGTATCTACCGGATGATAACTTGGCAGCGGGAACATACTATGAAATTCATAAGTTGATTTTTAGTCTTGGTCTACCTTCTAAGATGATAGATGTATGTGTTGACAACTGTATGATTTTTTGGAAAGATGATAATCAGCTGGAGGAATGTCGATTTTGCCAAAAACCAAGATAC